TATATNTGTGTGTGTGTGTGTGTGTGTGTGTGTGTATATATATATATATATATATATATATATATATGTATATATATATATATATATATATGTATATATATATTGTTATCTTATTTACTATTGACTTCGTTGGCTATACCATCTTTGTTATCGTTTGTCTACATTCATATACAATAGTGCGTTATTGATGTGCGGCGTTGCTTTTGGTACCTACTTTGTACCGAAAACACGAGTATCTCCGAGTAACGAATTACATGTGGTTCGGTCCACCTGGCAGATTACTGTCGAGCAACGACATTATTTACTAAGCGTGTTTGATACAAGTACACTATCCGTGTTGAGAAACAGATACAAAACCACCTTGACATCTTCGATACTTGGTCACTTCCCCTGTTGTGTATTAAAAAGCCTCTATATATTTCACTGCTAGGTCATCGACAAAAAACCCAGCTTATCACCTTCATATATATTTATATATATATATTACAAACCTGGAATATCTCTGTGGTAGCGTTTTTGTACCACTGCCCAATAGCAATGGCAGCTGATTTGAGGCTCTGCATGTCCATACTATTGACCTCTTTCCATGCCAGCCTCTGGATTTCCTCCAAGGAGTCTCGGATTGTGCCGAGATTGAAGTCTCCTACACATAAAACGTTTAGGTCGATTTAGTGACAATTCATTTCGAATTTATCCATCCTCATTTAGAAGTTGACCTAAACTTCAAGGTAATATTCACCCTGCCACCGTACCGTACCTTTGGACCGGGAGAGTGAGGCAATCAGATGATAAGTGGCTGGGAGAGTCTCCTGGATTCCTGCAAACGCCAAGGCATTCTGTCCTGCGCGTTGTTGACTGAAGGTCGAGTTCATAACATCGTTCAGTCCATCGACCACAAACGCCAACCCCTTTCGCCACTCGGCTGAAGAATAGAATGGGATCAGGGCTTGAGGGATATAGGGTTTTAGGGTTTACAATTTGCGGATTTGAGGGGTGTAGGGTCGTGCTTTCAATTTGCTGTGTGTGTAGTAGGCGGGATCTGCATATCCGCGTAATTTCAGCTGGGCACATGACCGGCTGGATGATGTGAATGAATTGGGATGAAGTACACTTGGGTCAGAAAGGCGAGGATATCACATCAACAGCATATGGACCAGAAAGCCAATACATATCCCTTCCGCCATTGGTAACCTGAAGAGAAGAATATAGTGTAACATCACCGTGTGTGTAGATGGAAACATAGCATTCTCGCGTACTATTTAATTGTCAATGGACACAGTCTAGCTTCGACGGAACGCATATATTGGAGTCAGTCTGTGATATAGCGAAAAGCACAAATGTCGGTATATATATATTTATATATATATACTAATATATATATCTCGGGCGTTGCTTAAGAACTTG